CGCACTCAAGAAAACTCTGGGAAGCTGTGGGGGTGGTGGGTAAACGCCCCACACAAATCCATCTACCCATTCACCCATCCACCTATCCATCCATCCACCCATCCATCCATTCATCCATCATCCATCCATCCAACCTTCTTTCCTTACATCTTTTTATCTTTACATCCATCTATTCATTCATCTTTCTATCCATGTACCTCTTCATCCATCTACTCATTCTGTTTGTCCACCCACCAACTCATGTCATCCATGTATCCCTTCATTCATTTTCCCATTCATCTAAGCATCTACCTATCTAAACACCTATTTACTCAACCCACCTTCTATCTACCCACCTATAAACACTTATACACACACACACACACACACACACACACACACACACACACACACACTACCCACCCACTCAACCATATATCAATTTACTGTCTAGTTTTTAGTGTGTACTCACTGATTTTTTACTCACCCAAATGGCCATGTCATTCATTTATTTCAATTTATCAACTTAGTTTCCCTTTGTTCAGTAGAAATGAATAAATTATTTGTCTTTTATTATGCATAACCTCATCTATCCTTCCATCAAAAGTTTCATTCCTTAATCCTTTCACTAACTGGCCTTTGAGTTTATCTTTCATCTGTCTATCCATTCTTCCCTTTATCCTCTAATTGAGTCATCTGTTGACTTATTAGTAGAACACATAATCCAGTGTTCAGTCTGTTCATTTCATTAACTCACAAATCTGTTCATTTATTGATTGATTTATCCATTAATTTTATTGTGTATTCATTTTACATGCATCCATTGATAGATTCATTTGCTAATCTACCTACTTCTCTGTTATATTCCTGAGGATACAGCCTCCAGTTCTTAATACAAAATTCCATGTAAGATTACAGTATGTGTGTGAGTGCGAGCATGTGTTTGTTAGTGCACGTGTGTGTGTGTGTGTGTGTGTGTGTGTGTGTGTGTGTGTGTGTAGAGAGACAGACAATTCATTCCCTTGAGAAGGTGAGATTTTTATGCTTTTCTCCCTCACACTCTTACACCAACATGATTGCTCTGAAGTCTCCCTATGCAATAGCCCTTTGCTGTGTTTTTCTCTTTTTTTTTTTCAAATCCCTGCTGAAATGAGGTGGAGGAGAGCTGTGATATAGTTTTAAGCATGGGCACAGAGAGACAGTCGCTTAAGAACAGAACAGTTGTTTGTACCCACAAGTGCACTGCGTTTCTCAGAGAGGCTCCATGATGCCCTCTTTCCTGGGGTGTTGGCTCATAGAATGAAATATCATTGCTACAAACCATCAAAGCAGATCCACACTGTTCCTCTTTTCTGTGCAGAGAAAGTCCAAAAGGAGATCGATCAGGTGATTGGCTCACACCGACTCCCAAACCTTGATGACCGCACCAAAATGCCTTACACTGAGGCTGTCATCCACGAGATTCAGAGATTTTCAGATCTAATCCCGATTGGTGTGCCACACAGGGTTACCAAAGACACTTTGTTCCGAGGGTACCTGCTCCCCAAGGTGAGACCAGCGGCGATTCCACATCTCTACTCCATGATCATCCTCCACTCTCCTCCTCACCAGCCTCAGCCTGTTTGTGGTTTCCTACATTCTGTGTTTCTCGGGGACTGACTGAAGATGAGAGTCAGGGTATGCTAATATCTTTGTGTCTCATAATGTCTCCTAGAACACTGAGGTGTACCCCATTCTGAGTTCAGCTCTCCATGACCAACGGTACTTTGCACAACCAGACACCTTCAATCCTGACCACTTCCTGGATGCCAATGGGGCTCTGAAGAAAAATGAAGCTTTCATGCCCTTTTCTATAGGTGAGACCCACTTGTGCTTCCTTTCCCAGACACTAGAGGGCAGGCTCATCCTCCAGGACACAGACAGGACTAGGTCCATGTTTACTGAGACTGATCTGCTGCTTTGCATGAACCAAGTCTTTCATCCTGGCTACAGTCCTACGAGGGGATTCTTGAGCTAAAGGAGCCCTGAATAGATGACAATGAGCACAGCTGTGAATTGTGCATGGTCTTGATGGCCAGGGAGGCACTGAGTTTAGCTGTGAGCACAGGGGGGATGGGGCATGTCTTGACATGCTTGTCTCTACTTGCAGTAAATACTCTTGCTTGGTAAATTGTAAGAGAAATCAAAATTACTACCTTTTATTTAAAAAAAAAATCCCCGATGGATAATATCCTGAACCAGAGAAAGTTCAGGGTTACAGCACCCATCAGAGTCAGCCCAGGGTTTCTACAGACAACTGGGAGCTGGGCATGGACACACAGTTTGATTGGTGCCAGCTCTGCTTTTGCCTTACTTGGCCGTGCTGGCATAGTTGGCAGCCTGGGGTGGGTCAACTGCTACGAGAGATTGAGACTTGTTCTTCAATGGAAGATATAATTGTAGCTAGAGTTTTCCTGCCTTGCCCACAGTCAGGACAAATCTCTGTCACCCGCCAGTCCCACAGCCACTCAGACCCAACCAAGTAAACACAGAGACTTATATTGCTTACAAACTGTATGGCCGTGGCAGGCTTCTTGTTAACTGTTCTTATATCTTA